GGTCTCTCTGTACATGGGTCTGTTTTTCCGCGGTAACAATTTCTCTAATGGGCCCAAACAATACAATGGAACATATATATACTACAATATGACGATACCTCAAACAGCCAACCCCATCCGCAGCGCCCACCAATATTTCTCATGTTTCAGCGTTCATAATTGTGCGATTGTCAATTAAAAAATAATTATTGCGCATATCGGAGGCACCATAACAACACGTCGATGTTTTGCATGTGGGCCTTTAAACTAGTGAAAGCGCGCACAAGTAATTCTAAAGACCATACCGTTTATCACGCTGCCTTGACAGTGCAATGCGATGCTCAAAAAGGCAACTGTTTCCAATGCTTTGTTAAGACGACACGGTGGTGGCACCTGCACATCGCTTTGCGTTCTACTCCTTATCGCTTCCGAGACAGGCGAGCATCTTCCTCCGCAGGCACTCACGCCTTCCTTTGTTTTAGAAGGCAACTGCCAGATGGTGCTCGTGTCTAACGTTCCTCAATGCGCTCGTTTGCCTTCGCTGCATAAATCGAGACTCTCTAGCACGGCACTTCCAGTATACAATTCACCGTTTTTCTCGCGCAGAACATCAAGTGAACGTTTTAACGTGACAGCGTTAGAGAGATCGTGTCACAGAAAACCCGCCGCCGGCGTCGGCCCCGTTGGTTGTGAGCGAAAATGTGTGTGACCGAAAAATCAAGTTGCTGAGAAAGCCGTGGGAGGCCGCTACTTGTCCATGCGTGCCCGCGCGACCACAGTGAGGAAACCGCGTGCGCGAAGAAAAAAAGAAAGTGCTCAAGGTCACGTGGTGCGTAAGTTTATTTGCCCTGCAAACCCTCCCTGCGCTTCCACCTTCCAGCGCTTTCGTCGAGACGAGAGCAGAGATAATGCAATTGCAGCATGCGTCAAACCTTGGTAACTCCCCTCGCACTGGTCCGATTCTTAAAATATTTGCAGCATTGAATTCGTGAGGCAATAAACTCTTCTAGTAGATTCATTTCATGGTTACTTGAAACAGTGTTTCAGGGCCCTTTTAACGCATTTCGTTCGACAGGTGTCACGACGAAAACGAGCCCATTCGGCGCGTGCTGGTCCAATCTACTGTGTGCATTTTTGTTTGCGTGTGTATGCATCAAAACATATTAATAAGTATGCACTTAGCGGTTGAAGAGTGCACGAAGGGCCAGATTTCGCTATCGCGTTGAACTCTTGAAGGCGAAACTTAAGGGTCCCCCAAGATTTGTTCACTCTCTCCACACAAAAGACTAACATCTTTCGACGATATTTAGACTGAAACACGCAGATACTGGGCCATTTTTTCGTTGTCACCTTTTCATGATAGTTCATGCTTCATGCTCCGCTGGGCGTTTCTTAACTTCGACAGCAGGCTTCCCGATCGGCCCTGACGCTCGCACTCATCCTCCGCGCATCGGGGATGGGCCGGCTCGTTTGATGCTTGCTTAAGCGGCGTTTGTCACCCCCACTTACGCTTTCATCCGCGGTAGAACACGCGATGCTTGGGGATATTATCAGTTTTGACGGTATGCGGGACATGACTGTGCCAGCAGCAGTGATGGCAAACACTTCTTGAGAGTGCCCATATACTTTTCTACCGCAATATACCAAATTGAAACCATGCTTCCAGGTGGCATCAAGTTCATGTATTCAGCATGTGAGCCAAGTATATTACCACAGAGCCACGACAGTGAATGCCACTGCACCGAGAAAAGAAAAAAAGATTTTCAAAAGTTGTGACGTCAGCAGCATCATCAGCCACAATATTAGCAAAATATTCCTCTACGCGAGTGTGTGTATTGCCTTACATAAACGCAAGAAATACTTCGCAACTGCAATTGCAGTTGGAACTTTAGAAAAATACTTTATTTCCAGCACGCTTGACGCTCCTTTCTTTCCAGCATACTCCACGAGTTCATCGAGAAGCGAAGCATGCAAATGAGTGAGAATGGTATTCGAACGGTGCTTAATAACGCTATTACTATGCATTACTAATGAGGAAGCACAAGGGTCAGCCAAGTTATATTTAGAGGTGCACACTGAACATCAGCCCCAATTAGCATGCTTCAGTATTGTAGAAAGTTGGGGAAGTTGGTGATAGTTCATGATTGCATGTGAAGCAGAGCACAAAAACACGCATAAAAGAAACTATAGGGACACCACTGCACTCTCAACTAGTCTATTTCGCAGAAAAACGTGGTTATTATACAAGAAGACGGTGTACCACGTGCTACAATGATGGTGGTGTACCACGTGCTACTTCGCAATCGCTCGATGTAATCGATGCTCGGCTAATGCAGTAGTCTTTCCTTTTTGCGATGTGGAAGGCCTCGGTCCCTTCCCTGGTCACCTGGTCTCTGTGACTGGGAAGTATTCCAGTCTCAGGGAACAGCGAGGAGCAGCCACACTCTAAGCAATGCCGCATCATGTGTGAGTAAGCATTATTAGCTAACGCTCTCTTGTGCTCCGTCAACCTTGTATTTAAGTATCGGCCAGTGTGGCCGATGTTCATCTTTCCACATGACATGAGCAAACAGTATAATACCGCAGTTCTGCACTCAACAAAAACTTCAAAAAAACGTGCTTGACAGAGTACCGAAATCTATCATTTTTTTTTTTTTTTGCCGATCGCTTTCACTCCAGCCTGGCACAGATTTTTCCTAGTTTGTTAGGTGCAGAAAAAACAACATGTATTCTATAGAGGCTGCCTACAGTATATTCTTCAGAATATGCGATATAAAAAGTGCATAGGGTATGGAGACACATTTTTTTTTTCTTTTCATCAGAATTCCCATCTTTTGAGGCTGCTCCATAGATACACCCCTGTGTACATCGCGAAACAACATCTGTGCTGATCTGCGCACAATATGTTCTTCGTAACCCACACTAGCCAATCTACTACTTGTCTATTGAGACTATCATTGTTTTGTGGAGGCAAGAGCCGCGCCGCGGTGGTCTAGTGGCTAAGGTGCTCGGCTGCTGACCCGCAGGTCGCGGGATCGAATCACGGCTGCGGCGGCTGCATTTCCGATGGAGGCAGAAATGTTGTAGGCCCGTGTGCTCAGATTTCGGTGCACGTTAAAGAACCCTAGGTGGTCGAAATTTCCGGAGCCCTCCACTATGGCGTCTCTCATATTCATATGGTAGGTTTGGGACGTTAAACCCCACATATCAATCAAGTTTTCTTATCACCCCGTTACACTACGTTCAGCGCAAACCACGCCTACGATGTTAGAAAAGCTTCGACACTGTAGTAGATCGTTTCGTTAAGATTACGCCCCCTTCGTCAACACTACAGATTATTCTGAAACCTACGGTGCCACTAGAGATAATGCTAGAACATTCCATGACAACTGTATAAATGCCGACGCGCTTCGCCGCTTGTCAGTTCATCGACGGCTGACGCTCTGCTAACATCTATCAGTGTCAATGTCTTGCTGTAATCTGATTTTTCTTTTACATGGCCACAAGTCAGGCCGGAATAAACAGTTTATTATCCGTCTTCCGCCTTCAGCCACATCACGACACCATGACAATCTCTTGAATAAAGAAGCGTTAGGTAGTATTTACATATTTATAAATAGGCTACTACAAGTGGAGGCTGTTATTCCATTCTTTCAGACATATGTGGAACCGTGGACTACAATTTATATCGCGGTGCACCTGTATATGTTCATAATCAACTAAGGATGGCGTTTTCAACTAGCGCAACCCTGTGCACCCACGAATGCAGCGAAGCTGAGTTTAGGAGTAAAGCGGATATAATGAGACACTTTGCAGTTTAATCAACATAGGGTAAAGATTACTGCTATATGGCACATTGATTCACTACCGACAATAAGTGGCAGCTGTTGCAAATACCCTCCACTGCACATGTTAAATGGGCCCAACAACATTTTTTGAGCTTGGTCGGAAAACGCTGCCGATCGGTAGTAGAAGCTCCCGAGAAGAACACGCGAGCCAAATGTTATAGCGCAGCACGCGATATGGAATTCACAATAAATTATCAAAGTCAGCTAAAAAATGTTTTTCTTTCCTTGACGAATGACTGAAGATACTAAAAAATCCCACGTAGACGGCGCATTAATCAGCCATAGGCTTATTTGAACATGGCGTGCTTGGTTGTTACAGAGATCGCTGCAAGAGGCTGTCACTTGTCCACGCGTGATCGCTCTCAAAAATCCGTCTATTCGAAAGAAAAAAAAAGAAAAAAGTGCTCATAGCCACGAGATTCCCATGATGCTTTTTGTTTGCCCCTCCAATCCCTCCCTGCTTAACTTCCAGCGCTTTTGTATGGACGAGAAAAGACAGAATGCGATTGCAGCGTGTGACAAATCCTTGTAACTCCACTCGTAGTAGACGGATTGTGAAAATTTTTGTGGCGTGGAATTTGTGGTGCAATACACTTTTTCTGTAAAAAATTCCACGGTGACTCAAAAAAGTGTTTCAGCTCCACTTTAAGCTCCTGATTTTGCAGATAGCTGGCAAATTCACTAAGTTCTTTCAAAACATCTAAAGAAAGGCTGCCAGAAAGGCAGTGAGAAAGTTAACGACTACAACAAAAATGCCGATGCAAACGTAAGACTGGAAGTGTGAATGCGCGTGTCACCTAACTGACTAGGAGTGGCATAATTGAATTAACGTTTAGCAATCTCGAAATATTTTATTGTGACCTAACTATCGCGCGCTAGTCGCGTCTCTCACGACTACTAATAAAGTTGAACAAACCAACCAACCTAATACTTCAGACACCAGCAACGAACAGTAGCACGGTCAACATACCCAATAAGGTTCTGCAACAAAAACTTCCTCGAAATAATTTTTGTGTGGTCCTCTCGTGGACTTCGTTTTCCTCAACAGTGACATACGCAATGCGATTGTTTTTCCAGATACATCTTTTTGCGTCCCAGGCTGATACAGAAAATGAAAGAGCCACGAACGTTGGTGCAGAGAGAGGAGGGCGCGTAGTAGGCAGCATTTAAGACATGGGAACTGGCAGCTGCGGCCAGCGTGGACTGGGAGGGGTTCCACTTCCGGGAACAGTGGCAAGTTGGACTAACGGATCGGACGAAGCGGTCGTGTTTCCAGACGCCATTGTGTGGGATGCGTCCTTGGTGCAGCGCGTCGTGCCTTTGTCGGTCATCATGTTCTTCACGCTGGCAGGAAACGCCGCCATAGTTGCCGTGCTGGCTCGGCCCAGAGCTGCCAAGCGTGCTTCGCGTGTAAACCTGTTCATCCTACACCTGGCCATCGGAGACCTGGCAGTCGGTCTCTTCACGCAGTCATCCGAAATGCTTTTCGAGGTGAGTGAGTGGTGGCTTAACGACGCGCGGCCGGCAAGTGCGCTCTTCAATGCCATGTTTTCTCCACGATTCCCACAAAGATTGATTGCTGTTTACTGTAAACCAATAAATATATTTGAGCGACTTGCCTGCGTAAATGCACACGAAATAAGAGATTAACACGCAGAGACTAATAATCATTGTATCCGTCAGTCGATGTATATTTCCGGCCCTAAGCTTTCTTCACCAAAAGTGGTTTTTGCACTGCCGCAGAGATCCGAGCCATTTGATGAGTTTCGCAAGCCATTTGTCTTTACCTTTCCTCCGTGATCGGCCCACCTTCAATCAGTGACGATATTTCACATAACGTCATCGTATTATGCCCCCACGTAAATTCAGAGTGACGTCACAATATTTTGGTGATCTGTGACACGATGATGGTATGTGGTGACACCACCTTGTTATGGTTATTTTTTCCTCGTAGTGGCGCCGACGTGTAGAAATCGCGATATCAAGGTGTCAAGCATGCCCGTGTCGCATGGAATCGAGAATTATGACCACTCGTGTTGACGCCTGGTCCACGGGACACTGATGACACTCGCGATCAGTTTTTGTATTTGAGAGGCATCTAAGGTATTCGCATTAAAAAGGAAATTACCAAACGTGAGTCGCACGTGTTGCTTTCCTTCGCCTCACAGATCTCAGGCGGCTGGGTGCTGGGAGGCCCCGCTTGTAAGGCCGTGGTGTACGTGCAAATGGTCACCCTGGCCTCGACCACGTTCATCTTGGCCTCGATGAGCTACGATCGCTACGCCGCCATCTGTCGACCTCTTGAGTCACGTTCGGGTCTGCGGCGCGCCAAGGCTATGGTGGCGGTCTCTTGGGCGTTGGCCTTTCTGCTTGCATTGCCGCAACTCTTCATTTTCGTGCAGGTAGGCCTGCGCTCGCATTATCTTTGCATGTAACATAGAAGATTACACGCTGCTTGTAGCAGCATATTGGGTTGAAGTGGCTTTAGCGGATGGTCACACCGGATTGTTCTTTCGTACTTGTGCGCCTCTTTTTTTTAGGAAAAAGCTAGATATTCAATGCTTCCTGTTACAGTTCCGCCACCTCCCCCCCCCCCCCCAAAAAAAAAAAAGCCAGATTGAACTTGAGTCCCGTCTTGAGCAAGATATTAACTCTTTTGTAAAACTTTTCCCTCAAATATGCGGCATGCGTTTCGGCCTTCCACGAGTATCTTCATTTATAGGGGAGTAGAAAATGTGATCGACACCAAAAAGGCAAGTCAATCGAGAATGGAAAAAATAACTTGCTTAGCAGCTGAAGGTGACCTGCTTGTACTGTGTGCAGATTGCAATAGGTAAATCTGGATTCGTGTCTTTTTGTTTTTCGCGTACTGCGCAGGTACAGACAGGCGTGACCACGTCTGGCCGTCCTCATTACGAGTGTCTCAGCGTCGGATACACTAGTCATTGGCAGAGACAGCTGTATTTCTCCTGGCTCACCCTGTACATTCTTGTGGCGCCGGGCATTCTAATCTCGGCCTGCTACCTGCGGCTCTTACGAGCTGTGTGGGCGGCATCTGGCTCGGAAGGCGGCAACTGTCTCGTCTCTACAAGCAAGTCATCGCAGAGAAGCAAGGACAGCGATAAAGCCAACGGCAAGTCGTCACCGCCCTTGCTCCGTCGATGCGGTCAGGGAAATCCACTCCTGCCCAGGGCGCGGGCGAAGACACTTAAGCTTACGGTACGCCTCAGTTGCTTTGAGATTAGTTTTATAACAACAACGCTGTGGATTCTTCCACAACGAAAGTGTTCTGACTTCGGGTCCCACAAAAAAACTTGGCGTTATTTCTGTTACGGAAACAGCATCAGTATAATGCTGCGCTGGTTTTCTAGGCTCCACGCCTCTGATGTAAACTGCTGTTCTCTTTCTTCCCTTTAGATTTCCCCATCTATCTTCCTGATGCATTTCTGGTTATGACTTTTCATTACACCTTGGAGCTAAGAAATTCCTCTTACATTAGTTTGGTCAGCCGTTTTCACCGGCACTAAGTGTGTCGAGTTTTTCTCTATGTGAATTACCTGCTCAATCGAGATTCAGCATAGCCGTGTTGCTCTATATAGATTCCCCTATAAATGAGGCTCCATGTTTTCGGAGTTATGTCTCTTTAACTTAGGAGGGTGTTTTTCGGAGTTTTATTGTTTTTTGGGAAATTCGGCGTTTACTGAAGCGTATTTCTCGTAAATCTCCGATTCTTCAAAAATTGGCGTTTACTTTTTCATCATAAGTTGTTGCAATATCTTCTCAATAACTTTATTTCGAATTAAAATGTACTGCATTGATAATAATAATAATAATAATAATAATAATAATAATAATAATAATAAGAAGAAGAAGAAGAAGAAGAAGAATAAAGTAATTATTATTATTATTCACAATACTCTAAAATATTAGGTAAAATGAACTTCGATTTGAAAAACATGCGAACACACGAAGTGCACTTAAAATGTCTCGAAGGCTTGAGCGTGCCGACACAGATGCACACAAGCAGAAATACTCGAATACAAAACGCTTGCATTTGTTAATATCGCAACCACAACTCTTTCCACCACGGTGGTCACCCCAGGTAACCACTTTTTATTTCATCTTGAAACGCGTGAGCCTCGCGTGAAGGATTTAAAATAGCGCATACTTTTAATGTTTATGGCAATCTGACAAAAACGACGCTACTTCGTTTTGGCTCCAATGTGGCATTTTACGTTTGCTTTCTTCCGGATCCCGTCGTTCTCAAGGTGCGCTAAACGACAGACCCGAGATATGTTTACATAGATATATAAGTACGTGCTGTTCTAGTTAGCCGACTTGCCTTTCCTTGCATCTTTATCTCTCTCTCTCTCTCTCTCTCTCTCTCTCTAGTAAATTAATAATGCAGAAGAGCATGATGTAAAAGTAGCTAACGCTAAGGACTGTAGTAATGAAGAGCTTTTTGTTCGCCGCAAGGAACCAGTAGAACATTACTGCATAGTGGTTGCTTCAGGAGACCAACTCAATACTTTGGAACTAAAATTGCAGTTTTTTTTGCCAGAATATCATTTTGTGCAAAAGACTTTGTCATCTTGTCAACAAAAGAAAACCCTTGTTGTAATAGACACAAACATACTCAACGAGGCTGCTTCCACTTAGCAACTAGGTCCGCTCTGTTTAGTTCATGATTCACAGCTTTGGAAATGTCATTTGAATAGTGGAAATGCCCTTTTAATATTGGAAAGTGTGAAAAATATTACCAGAGCATATTTGTGGCATTTTTTTTAAATTTATCTAGAAACATGTACCCCTACCTAAAAACTATGTTCTCTAATATTCTTCTCGCTTTTAGAGAAATTTGCTTCGAGTAGGTTAGCGTTCCCGTGCAACTGTTCTTTTTGAAGGTGGCTTGTGACACTATATTCACGCTGAATAAGTTTCTGAGGACTGTTGATGCAGTTATCCGGGCGCTATATCATGTTCACGGTGTAAAAACGGTTAAACATACGAGCATCATGTTTTGATTAATTGATAAAGAACGAATAATCAAATTCGAAGTCTTATTTCACCATTCCCGTTTTCTGTAATGCCTGGTAATGCTTAGACAGAAAAATAGTGAGCGAGAAGCAAGTTTGACTACTATAACAGCAACAACTGCCAACCTTAAGTGGTGAAAAGTACCGTGCCAATGAACATTCTTAACTGAAACTGCGGCTGTGCCAGCTGCCGGTGTTCTTGAAGGCGAGGGCGAAATTCAGCGCGACCAGATAATGTGAAGCGCAACAAGAAAGATAAATACGTGATAATAACAAAGAGAAAGAAGCTACTGCTATCTTTGCATACGAAAGGCGTTAACAAAGAGCAGGTTTACGCGATAGAAAACGCAATGATGAACTTGTGGAGGCAACAACAGCCTTTTTCAGTGAGCGACGCGGTCTGGTGCTCGCCTAACATTGTCCAGGTGTGAAAAGTGGTGCAGCATGCATGGCACGCATCGCATGCACTTACCGTGAAGCATGCCAAACTTTCCTCTTTACCTCTCCAGGTGCTGCCATGTATGCCCCGTTTTCGCGTTGTCGTACATCTCCCTGAAAACGTGCGCACGGTTGCGTTGCTCCGGCTGGGCAGTTTGCTGCAGCGGTGCGAGAATGGTTCCAGCGGCTCGTATGCCGGCGATGTCATCTGTCAGACGCCTGACATTTCATATTGTCGGGAAGCTCGAGCTTATCGCTTCGCCTACAGCAGAAGCCAGGCTGAATTAGGCTCCTCATCGCCGTCATGTGTTATCACTGAGTGATGCGGCTGTCGCCATGGCTTGGCCTTCTCGTTCGACAGCGCATGCGCATCATGAAAACCGGCGGTGATTACACTATAATGCGCTGATCAATCAGAAGATTAACAGCAAACACTGCGAAGTTTGAGCACGGGAAAGCTCCTTGCTTGACTGACATACTGACGAATAAAAGGTGAATCATTGTATCTATACTGGCCTCGGTTCTTCTTCTTCGCGTACGAAGTGAAGATGCCGCCGGAAGGTGACGCTGTGGTGATAAGAAGGTCACAGTGGTGTTCTGTCGATGCTGTAGGTTACATGAAAGTAGTGAGATACTCCTAGTTTTTGCAGTTCTTGTGGCAAAAAGTTCTGGGCCATTTTATTGAAGTATATACAGTTGCCTCAGACGGTCTCCGTTGCTGTCGTCTACGTGCTACGCTCCCCGTCTGTAGCTAACGATACGTCTCAAACACCCGTACGCGTAAGCCTCGTTGATATATAACAGTGTAAGATTTACGCAGTAAAAAGGAATTGGTACGCTAGCGTATCGCAGTGTTTCAAAATGCTACGTTCCGCGAGGGTAATATGCGTTGAAATTCGCACTCAACATAAGCGCCAGATCGTTTCAACTTCAGCACGAAGGGCGCATGCTCGCTAACATGTCTTAACGGTACGAACATGAGGCTGCTGTTCTTGAACATAGGAGCTCTCGAACCCCCTTATTGGCCACGTATGCTTGCTTATCCTTCACCATGTAATAAAAATAAAATTAGTGTTATCGTTTGCTTTATTATGATGTGAGTGTTAAAGATTAATAATCTTTGTACCCCAATTAGTGACATCATTTTTATGCCATTTGCTTTGTATTCCTTGTTTTTTCATTGTTGTGCATGCCCTTCCCCCCTGAAATGTACTGTGTACCCTTAAGGTGAAATAAATAAACAAATAAATAAATAAATAAATAATTATCTCGTTATAGCGAACTTACGTCCTCGTGTGCTTAGCACAAAACTTGAGGCGCGTTAAACGTGACGCGTTGTGCACGAACTCCAAAGTTCATGATAGATTCAAGATATGCAAACGCGACTTTAATAAATGGGAACTTGCAAGGTCGTTCGTCACGCATGCGCCTGTAGAGACGCTGAAAGCGCTCGCTTAGCTTACTATTACTTTTGCGTATGTCACGGGAGCCATTTCGGGCTCATTGCCGATACGAGGTTACTTTATTATTTTTCTCTAGCGTTACTTGCAGTCTACACTCCTCGTCAGAACGTTTACAAAAACATTCATAATAAAAATGAGCTTATTCTGGAAAAATGAAACGCACTGTAATTTCGAAACAGGGCCATGATAGATCCAGAGGCGCCAGCATGGACCTGTAAAAAATGCATGCTACAATAGTAATTTAAAACAAGAACTGTTACGATTTGTTTTGGTTGTAGTATCTTCTTATGAAAACTTTACCCCTCAACGCCACAGTGTACATTTATCATCGGAAAATCAATTTTGACTTCCTGCAAGCGCCATCCCTGTTGTTATTTCAAAGCGTTCTGGCCCATCGAATTTCGTGGCGCTTGTGCGGGCACTCTGCAAGGGTATGCTTCCTAATTTTAAAAAAAATCACAGAAAGAAAAAAAAACAGTCCTCCTGAAAACAGCAGATCAGAAACTCCACATAATTATTCTGGGGCGCTCTTCGAAAGCCAGGGCACTCTGTTTACTTCGGTTCAAAGTTAGGAGCATTGCGTGCGAGTTCACGGTGCACGTATTTGCATTTAAGGCAGGCAATACGGCTTCACCACTGAATATATTGCGCTCATCGAATTATAGCAGGGCGAAAGGAAATACCATAAGGTTTTTTTGTGCAGTACAAAACGGCTCTGCTTTTTCGCCCACATTGAAACTATACATTTTATTGACAGGGAAATAATAACAGGAACGAAGTGTGCAATTGATACATAGCATTTTTTAAGATAATGGCATTGAAGTATTCAGTCAAGTTTTGTGCTCGAAGTACAAGCTTGCCGCCAGTGCAGTAAACTCCTCAAATAATGTTTTTTTTATTTAAGAAGCTGTAAAAACTTGCATATGGGAAGTTGGTGCCATCAGCTATCAAACAATTATAACATCTACCGTTGTAATCGTGTAATATTTATCATGCTTAGTCCAAAGCATGCCCAAGTTTTTCAAAAAGATGTAAACAGCAATTACAGCAAAATTGCGCAAACCATAGCGTAAAAAATAAAGCACGATGAGTGGCCGTATCGAAAAGGTTTGGTGCTCATGACGAGTGCGATGTCAGAGCTGTCACAAACTAAGCTTTGCTAAGAAACGCTACCTCTTGTACTTTTTAGTTGTCTGCACCTATATATGCTTCTTCTCGTTGAAAGAAACGTTTTTGTGTACCTTTTCTTATACGGGTTGTTCAATGAAGGGTTTGCGCGCACGGGACGCGCAGCGGCCTTAAGTGATCGCCGCAATCCCAGCACCAAGTATTTTTTTTTTTGGTTCATATCCCGATTCGGGAGCGGTACAAAAGGGCCCCTTCGAGACCCCTCATCGCCTTGTAACATTAGCCCATTTCGAAATAAGCAGCGGCTTGGAACGCGTGATTTATTGTGTCCTCATCACCCCTACCCCCCCCCCCTCCTGCAGTCTCCCCATCAGTGACTTTCGGCCCTCCCTTTCCATGATAAAAAAAGTTTATCGATCTATCTATCTTTAAGTGTAATTTTTTGTAGTGTCTACTCTGAACTAGTTCCTTAACGAACAGATTGAGTGCGATAACGTCTTCAGCGCGAACGCATATTACCAGGCAGGCGTCAATGCTGCTGGCGCAGATTTTTAAAAACTTTTGTCTGCATGTCACAAAACATCGGTGGCGACATGTTTTTTTTACTGTAAAGTTGTTTCTTTTATTCCATTTTTTTTTCGGCTTTTCGAATCGACAAGCCCATCAAGACGGCCACGAAAGTATAAGCGATGTGTTTTGGGATGAACGTCTTAGCGTTAATTCTTCTATCTTGTGTTTCTCTTCCTTCGTCAAAATTTCTTCCTCGATTGAGTGGTCTTATCGGTTGTTTTTTATCACGCATTTTTATTAAGTATATCAATAGGAGGATAGCTGAGCGTGTGTAGGCAAAATGAGTAAAACAGATTCATCGGGATTACCTTAAAGAATACGTCAAGGTTTTCAGAATGGTCGAAATGTATGTTCATCGCCATAGTCTGCTCCTCAAGAAATAAAGTAAACATATTTTACAGAGATATGCCTGGCTGTCAGGAATCGCGGTTCTGTGGCGCTATCAAAGAAAATGAAGATGACCTTGACGTTTGTGCTCCAGTGTGCGTTCGCATGCTTGGCGGAGCTTACGTGTGTGGCATGTGAGGGTTTTAGTGTTTCTGTTTGGTAAATCATGTTTTTTTTATGCATCTTGTGGCTTCACCGGAACGTACCTCACTAAAATCCGATGTTGCTCTGCATTCGTCATTCTCCAGCTTCCTCGCTCTTGACTCGCAGGTGTGCATCATAGCAAGCTTCATGCTCTGCTGGATCCCGTACTTCGCGGTGCACAACGTACGCATCCACAGCCACTACTGCATCAAGGTGCCACGTGCCGCCATCGTCTTGGCCGAAACGGCGGCCCTGCTCAACAGTGCCGTGAACCCGGTGTTCTACGGGCTCTTCAACGTGCACATACGCCGCGGTATCTGCGACATCCTCCCCTGTGGTCGTCGTCGTCGTGGTCGGGGGTGCAGCGGTCGCGATTCGACCACGCGTTATCCTACTGGCCTTCTCACGACGACGTCGTTGGCGCCCGATGCCGGTTCTGTAAACAGCCTCGCACCGACGAGCAAAGCGCGCTGCCACCAAAGTGGTCGACCCTGTGGCAGCGTCACAAAGATACCGATGGTCGCCATTAACGGGAACACTGTTGTGGCATCTCACGTGTGACCAACGTCCACCGACGTTCGCTCGTCCAAACAAGTTATCTGGTGGCTGTGCGCACACGAAAACCAGGATTGGAGCATTCGGAATAAGTTTTTTGCTCACGCTTGTCTTCTCTCATCTGCTTCGTAAATAAACTCTCAAACAATTTAGGTAATACTTACAGCATACAAAGCTCAGTGAAGAGAGCCCGAATACGTAAAGTGCAGCAGTGGTTATTCGAAGCCGCTGATCACACTCAACCGAATAATTTGGTCTTTCTCAACGTAGAACATGCTTTTAAACTTTCCCATTTCCTTTAGTTTGCTTACCGCATGAGCACATTTAGCTAAGTTCTCTGTGAATTCTACAGGTGACTGAAAAGTGTTCGCATATTTCGCCTTACATGTTGCGTGATGTGACTGGATGAACACGACTGTATCTCGTCGTAAATCAGGTTGTTATCACCCTGGCGCCATTAATGCAAATGTTATAATCTGGAAAAAAATCGTGAATGAAACTCAAGTGTGAAACTACCTTAAGCTTGTCTCTGAGGTGGGCGCTGCTTGCGTGTGTTGTCCCCGTGGGTTCAACAACAACAACAACAAAAAAAAAAAAAGCTCTGAGCCTGCATTTCGGAACCTGCGGCATACGATGGTATAAAGAGAAGTGCGTTCAAAACGTACAGTTCCGGAACCATTTTTCTGGCACCCACATTTTGCTTTGATGACGTTTCATATGTCACCCCATCTGTGCAACCTTAGATGGGCTACCTGCTCAAGAAGTTATTCCGAACGCTTGTGTACTGCTGTTATTGCCTTCTACATAGGTCGCACCTGTTGAACCATTGTCAAATGTCACTTCGATGTGCTTAAGTGCGATTCGATTCTGTCAGATCGTCTTCCTGTTTTGAATAAGAACCCATTCGCCATTTCAAGTGTCACCATTACGAAAGAAAACATCAACAAAAGTTGACATGTACATTTCATATGACAATAAAAGTGATTACAATAAATTTCTAAGTGGTCTGAACCTGTAAAACCGTGTTTTCAATATTTTCTTCACTTTCATTTAAACTTCGAGCTCTGAAGACTTCGTTCATATTTTTTCTCGTTATAAATGCTCCTGCACTTTTCAAGCAATAGTTCCAGCACTTCCAGAGTGTTACGCAGAAGTCAGGTAAACATATAGTGCAATATTACTGCACAAATATTGCGAATAAAGAGCGATTCTTTTATAGGCTACAAACATCTACCAAAAGAATTTTCCTTCATTTGTCTGTCTGTCTTTTTCTTTCTTTCTTTTCTCTTCCTTCCTTCCTTCCTTCCTTCCTTCCTTCCTTCCTTCCTTCCTTCCTTCCTTCCTTCCTTCCTTCCTTCCTTCCTTCCTTCCTTCCTTCCTTCCTCCTTCTTCCTTCCTTTCTTTCTTTCTTTTTTAATTTTTCTTTCTTTCTTTAGAGCTTGTTCTTCGCACGTCAAACACAACCGTGGTATAAAGAGCAGAAAAACGAAGGACACAAGAGGTGAAGGTGACAACACGAGTGCACTTACGTCCTGTTTTTCATACTCGATAACCATACCATCGTGGCCTGTGCTATCGACCCGAGATGGGAACTGTCCCTGCGCAGGAAAAAAGAAATGCTTTATACAGCAGTCTGTTAGCCAAACATTGTCAGGAGCAGAGGTTCTCACTTCTGAGTGACGAAGCCCTACACCGCCTCATAGAGGTCTCAGAAACAGTTTCGGTGACAGACGCTCTTCGTTGTGAATTGCCCACATCAGACAGGCACTGCACGGAGGTGAAGTCACTTGTAACCACAACACGTTCATTAAAAATCATTGTTTAGGTTACGCACTTGTGAACCAAATATACTACAACACTCATCGATGCGTTTTTTTTGGCACTTGTGTTCGTATGCAGAGTTTTAAACTATGAAGTTAGCGTATGCAGAATGGATATAACCCTGACACAAGCGTAACGCACATGCGAGGTTTCGCAGGACAAAAAGGCAAAAAAATGATCGAAAAATTTCAAAAGAACAAAAAAAAAACGCTAGTCAACAAGGAGCAAAATGCAGCCAACGGCAGTATATGTAGTCGAAAGTAGCCCCACGAGGGCGAAGCCAACTGGAACAAAATGGAGAAGGGAGCGAGTCGGTGCTGATACAATACAGCGTAAAAGTAGCGCAAAAAAAAAAAAGACGAGAGATATGCTGGTGGAGAAGGGGGTGCAGGAGGTGTGTTCTTGTTTTGGCTTCTTGCCTTTTGCTTCACAAAAACTGCGCATGCAGGGAATTCAGCCGAGCATCAAGTTTAGATGCTATATATTTTCGGTTCAAGCAATAAAGCTTTCAGTTGTTATAAGCGCTTGTGTTCACTTTCTTGTCCCCGTCGTTTTTTTTTCTTTTTGTGCTATATTTACGCCGCGACATTTACGCCGTAACGAAGCCAACTGGGATGTTTTCACCGAAATGACTTGATGTGTTTTCATGAAAAGGTAACTAAGAGCTCTTCAACATCACAATTGCTGACAGTGAAGCATACATCACTGACTTTCACAATAATTTCGTGCATGATGACAACGTTTTATGCACTGTCACCGAAATAGCTGTCTATTCACTTGTATAGTGTCGGTTTTCTCAAAAGAACTAAAAGCATTTTGACGATGATAAAAATTGAGTGCTCTATAGAGGTGCTATTACTTGCTGTTGCTGATATTGAAGCCTAAATTGTAGTTCCTTGCAAGATCGTTCCTAATGACAAAATCCATGCAGTTAGTATTTCCGGGTAACAGTGCGTTTCTAATATTCAGAAAGAAGGCACACGCTGCATCGGATATTCACTTTGCGATGTCAATAAGCGCAGAACTTCGCTGAGTAGTGCTTCCTAGTGCCCTGTTCACTTCCACCTACTGTCATGTTCAGATATAGGGCGCCAGCAAGATGAGGCTCCAAAAAATAGTGTTCTCCGAGTCTCAGCCATTACACCAAATACAATATACTTTTCGTAATGCAATGGCGAAATCCAATTTCGCAATGTGAAAAACACGCCTTAATCTTCAGGTTTTGACACTTCGTACTCACACCGGATGTGGCATCCTAAGGTGTTACTAACTTGGTTGAAATCGAGGGAACAGTAAAATCGCCAAAAAGAGCCAAGGAGCTGAGACAATTGCTCGGCCACTACCGGCCTGAAAAATAGCCGAATAGATACACAGTAACTAAACCTCACATCCTTGACACTTTACTATAATCACGTAATTGAATAGATATTGTTAGCCCTGTATCCTTCTTTTTTCGGTTAAGACAGACAGGCTTTGTTTTCTTTTTAGCGCATTGGGCCGCCCCAGGCCTTACAGCAAGCAAGCCCCATGCAAAGCTTTCACAAGTGTCACGCGTAAAACTGCATGCGACTTTCCAAGCTAGCCAACTTAACTTTAGTTTATACCTTTTCACCAGGCGTAGAAGCGAGCAAAGACAGAGCGCAGCATCGGCATATCTATTGTACCACCGACGCCGTGGTAGGATAAATAACTTGAATATACAATCACAATAAGTTTGGGAAAAAACATTTACCCTCATGATTTGCACATGATTCGGAAGAACATTCCTTGCACTTCTTAAGATGATAAAAATAGCATTGGTTGCTTTTTAGTGCTCACTGACGAAGTCGGCGTATAGTGAACTACTGGTATTGTGCACAACGCTGGCGTTGCCGAGCTTTCTATTGCTCTTTTGCGACAGTGTCTGCTCTTTTGTAAGTCTGATAGCAGAACTCCCGTACTGTCTAGTTCTTTCATTGAGAGTTTCTTTGCATATCTCCAGAGCGGGATCTCCGGAAATTGGAACAGTAAGGGTGCGGAATAAAAGGGTGGAAGAGATGAAGGGAGAATAACTTTCGGCACGCGTGTGCCTCTTTTCTGTTTCTTTCAGGCACGTGGTTATAAGGACTAGATTGAAAAGTTAAGGCGTCATGTGGAATGGCTGCTGACGCACCCGTTTTGGTTATGCTTTTTGAGGTGCCATACATCAGCTCGCGTGGAACGAATGAATAGCCGGGACAGCTGTGGCGTGTGAGGCATGCGGCTTCATAGCCAGGCATTCGTGCGTATCATGCTCGCTCTGGTGACCATGATAAGGCCTTGTTGCGTGAGCTTGCGCGAAGATTGATCCAACCTCCTTTAAAGGAAAGTGTGATCTGCATCGAGTTAAACGGATTACATTATCTGCTGAGCAGGCGTGAACATTGGCAAGATCAAGACGCTTTTCTTTCGCATCACAAATTAGGGTAAGCTAGTTTTTGCTTTTACCGTTGAGGTAAAGGAGTTTGCCTAACGAGAAGCTCACAAAACTGCGCCAGACTAATGCCGTTCGACATGCGGAGACATCAAGACACCACACTTGCGCAAGGTAGGTAATGGCTCAGCGTTGTACTGAAGCTTTCCAGATGACTTACACAAAATGAATACGCAGGCCTCCTAGGCTTATGCAGGTGATTTATAACGTAGGGCGTTATCTGTTGCGCAACAGCTCCTGGCAGCTATACCAGACGCTTCACTCACCAGTGCGAAGCCTCTCGATGAATTATATAGGGGCGTTAGCTATGTAAGCAGCGATGACGTGGCATTGCTGGCGATGCATCTCAACAGCGTACAGGACGAAACGAAAAAAAAAAGAAAACAAAACATCATAGCCAAAAACAAGGACCCAAGAATATATTGGAAAGTAAAAACGAGGCAGTGCTGTTTTAAAAGAAAGCAGCATCAATGATAAAGCAGTTTGAGAAAAGCCTTGTCTATTATCTCGAGTCTAAAGCACTCCAACTGCAGGCAGATGGAAGTGATAGGTGGGAAGTTTAATCAAAATATTAAGAGACAAAAGCTTTCGCATACCTTGCATTGAAGGCGCTATGCTAAACAGACAGCGGAGCTGATAGTAGTTCTGGCGATCACTCTTTTGTTATGCTTTTTCAAACTTTTTTTTTTTAAATTCCATATTCTCTCTCTGTTTCTGGTTATGACATTTTTGTCTACGTTTATTTATATTTCTCTCTCACTCTCATTGTCTTTCTTTTTATTTTTCTTTCTATATTCATTTTTACCATCTCCTTCTGTCTTTTTTCATGAATTTAATTCACTCTATTCGTGCAATTGTCCTTCTTTATGATATGATTTACTTTCTCCCTCATACTTTCTGTACTCGTCATATTCAGTTTTCTTTTCCAGTTTTCTTTTTGAATAAAAGAGTGGCTAAGACGCTCACTCTCAGGATAGTACATACGCATGTTCGAGTGTCGCCTCGCACAAAAAACTAACCCTGCAATTCCTCTCTTCAGCTATCCTGAGTTATGTTTCGCTCTCTCGTTCTCTTTCTTTCTTGGTTTCTCTGCTCGTTGTCTCGGCCATCAGATTCATTGAGTAGCACGTCGAAACATATGCGGACGTGTTGGGGAAGCAAAGCATAAGATGAAAAAAAAAAGACAAAGACAGCATGCGCCATGACGCACTCTTTGGTGGTATTCTGCGGACACCCAAGTTTCCGCGGCTGGCATAAGCAACTACGCTATCGTAAAAAAACAAGAACTCCAACGCACAAACTTTGTCATGTATCACGCTACAAAAAGCATTCGTTGTACACCGGACTCATTTGTTTAAAATAATGCAACAGTGACACTGTTCACTGGAACCTTGATTCATCGATGCGTTTGAACCCGTATACGGAAATTAGACCAAGGCAGCGCATTGCTACATTTATATGCGTCAGAGCATTCTCTCTTTGCTATTGAGACAAGCTTGATTGATATTTAACACAGTTGACAGGTGCTTGTTTGCATCGTTCTTCCGGCGGCCATATAATCGCGTGTTTCGAAACTGTGTGGGTGAATACCTAAAAGCGTTATAAAGCAACGAGAAGTTTACAGGAAAGTTTTGGGTTGTGGAACAAGCCGGGCAGAAGCCTTTGATGTGTTACAATGGCGAAGAACCGCTGTGACAAGCTGAAGTTCTTTGTCCCATCAA